AGAGGTAATACCACTTCGCTCCTCGTGAGTTCGGGCACAACCGGCACTGGAATAGCGACCTGAACACTATTGCTTTAGCTGGCACCTCCAATCTTGCGCACAACAGCATAAAGCCTATGATGAACCTTATGCTGTTGGGTGTTAGCTGCGTCAGCGCCAGCTCGTACTCCGTCAGCAGGTCGAACACCAGTCCGGGCAGGGGAAATCGCAGTCCGGCGTCAAAGTGGTCCACGTACACTGGTATCCAGCCTGTTCGCGACACTATACACGCTCTTTCGTTCTGCCCGCCTGTCCGCAGCAATATGGTCTTGGGGATGTGGTACGCCCTCACCATCTCCTCCAGCCATTTATACCCACTTATGGAGGGCGTACAATCTGCTACTTCGTGATGAAGTGCAGCCTTGAACCTGAATCCATCGGGCAGGTCCTTCGGCACTTTCCGTAGGTTACTCCACCTACCCGGGATCGTCGCACTTTCCCATTCCCCAATAACCGGCCGGTCTGAGACACTGCTCACCAAATCCCCCGCCCCCTCTTCACGACTGGGTGTCTCTTCCGTAGACGAGCTGCTTGGCGATGCACTAGGGTGGTCGTCACCGTCGTCTCTGGCGCGGGAACTGGCGCTGCTCTCAGACGCCACTGTTTCCGGTACATCCTGCAACTCCGGTGGCACTATCATAGTGATAGGCTCCACGGCTAAAACCCCTTCCTCCTCTCCTTCTCTGCCCTGGTTACCTCGTTGCTCTGTGAGTTCTCGTAGTGAAACCATTTTTACCTGAAACAAATGTGAAGTCGATTCGGTGTGCTATTCTTCAAGATTGGAGTCGCCTTGCTTCAGAGAATTTCAGAGGATTTCAAGCAAATTCAAGAGTAAAAATGGCAAAGGGAACGGTTACGAAAGAAACAAAACCAAAATGACCGTATTAAATGCAGTACGCGTGTCTCTGATGCGCCAATAGGCATCTCACACGTGATAGGCGTTTAACTGCCTTTTGCATAACGTGCGCCGCCCCTGGCTGTCACGTTCCTCAAATGTTGTGCCAGCATTTATGGCGAGGAAGGTAAAGAGATACGGAAGAGCAAGCGTATCTCCTCAGAGATCTGGTCAGATTCGGTTGATTTAAAAATCCCCAAGATTCAAATCGTCCAGGAATCAGGTCGCGCAAGCGTATCTCCTTAGAGATGCGAAAATCCACCAGAACTCAGATCGTCACTACTGAGGTGTACCCTATGCTGTCACATCAGCTCGCCATTGCGGGCACACCTACCAGGTCGTTACAAACATGACATTATGCCAGATCGGCTCACCCGTGACAATTCGCTGAAATTCCCCAAGATTCAGCTCGTCACATATTGTGGCGGCAGCCACATTTGTCAGGTCGATACACGGATTGCAGCTCACACAGGTCACAAACTTTTACGTAAATCAATGGGTACCTCAGGTCGCCCTAAAGGTGAGGTCGCACCTTCTGGTCGCACTTCGGTGGTGCTCCAAGCTCAGGTCGTGACAACTACGAGCTGCTCGGGCGTTCCATGCAGGGATGGTCCCCGAGCGAGCTCGTCTATTGCCAATCACTTCAGCTCGCCGCCATGACCGGCCCACACTAATGTGGCGGTGAATACCAGCTCGCCCACACGTTTTCAAACTCGCAAGCTCGCCTCTTTTCGTTTTACCTTTCAGCTCGCCCTTTGTCGAGATCGGCTGCAAGCTGTTAAACCCGTTTGGAAGGGAATAGGCCCAACAACGCTGGCCCGTGGCTACACACATCCCAGTTCGTCAACCGAACACTGGGGGGGGAGTAATGTTGGAATAGGCCCAGCAGGCCCAACGCCCAAACAGGACTATGCATAACGGGCCTAGAGTACCACCTATTAGCCCAAGCTGAAGAAGCATCGGTACAAGCATACCCACGTGACCAACACCACGTGGGCCAATGGGCTGCTTACACGTGTAGATGTATGTCAGCACCAAGGGGCTATAAAT